AAGAAGTTCTGTGACAAAGGCACATAAATAATTACGAGATAAAACAAAAAATAATCAGCATTCAAATACTTGGCTTTCCCGGAGGACAGCCCCACTTAGAAACACATAGAAATTGACAATAAGACCGCGATAGAAAAATTAGATACGGTACGATATGGGTACGAAATGTATTAAGTATTTAATGGCAGTAGTACTTCATCATCCCGCACACCAGTCCTTAAATGCAGCGGGGCTGCCGTAGCTTTAGCGTCAGAGGAAGACGTTCGACTCAAAGAGTCACTAATACTAAGTTCCTTATCCAAAGGACACTTACAGTCCAAGACCAGGGCTCAAAGCTGATACCTTAGCTTATATGCTTCAAAACCAGAAGTGTTTTATTTACTATTATTGCGGCCAAGCCGCCTAGGGGTAAATGTATCTCTTTAACTATCTATCATAGTTAAACCTAATCAAATGCATAACGTGTGGCTTTCAGCCAACGTACTGAGAGACCTTGTTAACTCTCCAACTTATGTACTGAGCGTTTGTTAGCTCTCTGGGTACTTCGTACCCCTGTGTGTTTCATACCATGTAACCCCGTTACCCTCCCCCCCCTCTAAGATGAGAACATTCCATTCTTTAAACTTTCCTCAGCGAGGTCACGTCTTGTTAAGACGGCGGAGGTTACTACACCTCACACCAGCGTTGTACAACTCCGTGAGCTCACAAACGTCTACGCATCGTTGATGCCCAGCTTCTCGTCGTCGGCCCAAGGCCTAATTTTCCAAGCGCAACGCGCACCTTGCTCTGAAGCGGACCTACGCTCGCGCTCCGCGCCTACTCCAAGAGTTGCAAACCGCTTATAGCTATGCTCTTGACTCATCCGAGTCGTCGACAGCAGCTCAGCGGTTGAACACTCGCTCTACAAGCGATTGGTCGGTGGTTCGATCCCACCAGGGCGTCGCCCTCTCGCTCCATGAACGATTGGCCACGCTTGGACAGACGTAAGGGCAACACCCTTTTTGCTCAATGGTTGAGCGTTGGCTTTGAGAGCCACAGGTCGGTGGTTTGAACCCACCAGGGCACAGCCCTCTCGTTCCATCAACTGTTGTCCTTGAATGTACAAGCTTAAGGGCAACACCCTTTCAGCTCAGTGGTTGAGCGTTGGCTTTTGAAGCCAAAGGTCGGTGGTTCAATTCCACCCGGGCGCAGCCCTCTCATACCATGAGTAGTTTGTACTCGGACTAACGTACGGGCATCGCCCTTATAGCTCAATCGTATTTTCGGCCTGGCAAGCCAAAGGCCAGTGGTTCGATCTCCGGCCGGGACACCCCTTTCGCTGCTACAGCGCATCCACATTTAGATCATGCTCATCAAGCAAGTTGTTTCAAAACAAATATGCGTCTATCGAGACGCTTGTGCTTGAACCTTGTTCAGCACACCACGAAGCACCTGCTTCCTTCGGGACCAGTACCTAACACCACGAGGTCTCTCCACCGCCTTCTCCCGCTGCGAGTATCGCTCATACGTACGAGCTAGCTGCTGCAGCCACTGATCAGAGCCTGACCTCGACTACTGACCTGTTAGCTCCCCACTCTAGTGGGAGGCACCCAGCGCCTGGCGACGCTGTCGCACGCCATGGTGGCGCTTCGGCACATAATGAGCCCGGTCGTAAGCGTTAACGACGGCAGGGAAATCTTGCCGGAGGATAATCTCAAACTCCCATGGGTTCTGTGAGTGAGGGTAACCCCTCCACTTCACCAAGTACTGGGTACGCCCCTGGCGTCTACGCCGCGCCACAAGGCGTTCCACGTGAAAGTGGAGTTCACCATGCTCATCAAGCAGAGCGGGAGGAGGTCTTGTCTCAGCTGGGCTCTCGCGGGGAGAGTCAGCACTTGCCGGAACGGTGTCTGCGTCCAAACGACGCCGGCGTCCACGACGTGACCGTTCATGTTCAGTGTCCATCGGTCGATCTCGAAGAGATGATCCATCTTGTGGAAAGGTTAGAGCCACCACTGTTGAATCACAACCAGGTCTCGGACCTTGAGCGTCCAGTCGCTCGGCTGAACGTTCATCTTGCCTTGCTCCTGCATCTCGAACTTCGCTCCGCGACCTGTGGCTCTGCCACATGCTGTTGATCAGCCATTGGTGGTATACATCGTGGCAGAGAGCTTCCAGGACGTTGCCTTGCAGGACGCTGTCACTGGGACGCTAGTGATAGTTAAATAGAGCGGTTTGGCGGCGTGCATATCTTTATAGTTCACTTTTGGTTTTACATCAAAGCCGACACGCGCAATACAATCGGCAAGAGACCTACGAAAGTGCCAGCTTCCCTGACTGTATTCGCGTTTTTTCGGTGTGACCTACTACAGTACGTCACCACCAAACAATCACCAGTTAGTTTATAATGCCGACCCTGTCATTTGTGGCGCCTCGTGCCACCAATATACCAGTATATCAAAGAGGATGGGGGGGGGTCAAACGCCAAGTGACTGGCTGCAGTTTTGCCGGATGGAAGCTTCCATAGCCATTATACATCTGCCTTTGATATAGTATTGTCTAAGAAGCAATGTTATTACTCTGGTTGGTATTACTACATGTGTTTTATTGTCTGGGGTTAAAACCGGTATAGCTCTCGGACTATAACATGCTGGGGTCATATACTGGATAGTGCTGTATTATAATAAGGCTGTAAACAGTGCACACTAAAGTATAAAGTCACCGGTGGAAATCGTCGTCCAGAATCAGGGGATCGGCTCTCAGCTGAAGTGATCGCATCGCCCAACAGAAATGTGCAAAATGATAACTCGCATCGCCTTTATTTTTTTGTGGGTATCTCTTTCTTTTTAAAGTTTGGTTTATATGGCTTTTCGGGGTGCTAGACTTAATAAATATTATTCTATACTAAAAATTATGGTAAAGGGTTTTAGCTAAGGTTAAACATTACTTGGAACTACCTGATGAGCCGTGGTAAAGTCTGCTGGCATATTATTTTATTATTACTGTGACGGATGATATTTCTGGTAGTAAAGGAAAAGAAAGACATCAATTTTTTTTCTTGGACGTAATATGTCACTACACGACGCCTGCTAAAAAGCGATTCAGTGCCATCGCTAGCGCTTGCTTTAGTTCCTCTTGCGGCGGCCGTTGCACTTGGTTTTGGTCGAAGGGGTCGAAATTACCGTGGGGTCCTGGTTAGCAAAGTTCGCGTCTACACCGGGTTCGTCGGTGGATGTCTCATTCCAAGCACCAGCTTCGTCAGAAACCTCCGACTGAGTTACACTCTCGTCTCCGGTGGGCTCCCCCTGTTGCGTCGAGTCGCCGTTCTCCGATGATTTCGTGTCGCCGGACTTGTTGTCGTCGGACTTGCTCTCGTCCGACTTGTCGTTACCCTTCGATGATTTTGTGTCGTCTTGCTTGTTGTTGTCGTCGGCCTTGCTCTCATCCGACTTGCCATTGCTAGATTTTGACGAAGCCTCATTATTGTCGTCACTGTCCCCGCTTGCTTTCGAAGGTTGAGTGTTCTGCGAGGTTTCGTCATTGTCATCGTTGGGTGAAGCAGGAGCCACAGTGCCGGGTGTTTGCTCAGCGTTGTCGTCATCTAAAGACGCTGGAGTCGAACCGCCAGCAGGTTGAGAGACGTCGCCGTTGATATGCACGTCACTCTCGGAGTACTGGCACAGTGGCGGAGACGGACCATCACCCAGCATGGATGGCTCGCCGTCTGCATTGCCCTGAGACCACTGACAGATCTTCACCTTCTTCTTTCCGCTGGACTTGACCCAAATGTTACTCAGTGTAACCTCATCACCCCAGTTCTTGTTCACCGTCACGACGGCGTTGCCCGGGTCTACGATGTACACATTGGACACTGACACCTTCTTCGGTCGGAAGGAGATATTCTGTCCAAAACGAGTCCAACAATGTCCAAATTGTCCGATTGATAAATGACGGATTAATTAAACTAAAAGATTGTTTTTATATTTTTCCAGGACTGTCCAAACTGTCCAAAAGCTATCCAAACTGTTCAAAAGCTATCCAAACTGTCAAAAAGCTGTTCAAACTGTTTACATGAAGTTCATGTAGTCGTCTGGGACTTATGTGACGACAGCTTCAGCGTGGTGAGGCGCTGTTTGAATTTCCAGCTTGATGTCATGGATGCGGTTCACGTAGCCTAGTGCCTCGGCTTTAGCTGTCTCCATGAACGCCAGTATGCTTGGATGAGCTCCACGCCCAAATTTCTCGCCGAAGTCGCGGTTGTACTTTTCGAGCGGGTTATTGGTCCTGTTTGTGATGTCAATCCCACCAACCATCATGCTATTGACGTTCCACAAGCTGGAATCAAAGCGCCCCATCCACGTCTTGCGAAAATATCGCCAAAACCGATCCCACTTGCCCTTAGAGGCCTCTTCGTTAATCAGACTTCGCACATCCCGGATCCCCTGGTTAAAAACAATTGCAACGTCATACAAGATCATAACGTCAGAATTGAAGTGTCAAAAATGTCAGTAACAAAAAAGTTAAAATTTCAAACGATAATAAAAAAATAAATATGCGCACCTTGTCGTCGATTTCATCTGCAGGAATGATGGTCAAAATGTCGATTTTGCCGGGGGTTGTTGCATCCTTCACTTGATCCCTTGTTAGGCCCTGATCCAGCATGTGACGGCGCAGTGCTTGTTTCCAATGAAACAAACACCCCACAATATGCACTTTCGGGAACAGCGCTGATTGTATCACGTATTCCTTCCCTTCGTGCAGCATTTTGGAAATGCCTGAATGAAATAGCTTTAAAAAAATGCTTAGGTGCCACTGGGCTGATAACGATTGATTTTAACCACGTGTTTTAAACTATTTTACGACCTGTGACGTCAGCACGACGTCATTTTACAGATTGCCATGCCAAGTATTACACGCGGGAGCCATGTTAATACCTCGAGGTCTAGTTATGATACCGCCGTTTTTATTCTCGTCTTTTTCGTTAGAAGAAATCATTTGCTGTCTACGGTGTGAAAAGCAGCTCACGCTGTGATTCCTTTGTAGAGGAAGCTCATTTTTGCTTCACTTGTCGTCACAGTGGAGTCTGTGTCTACCGCGGTGAGCTCTTGACCATTGAGTGATAACGAGACATGCACAAGTTCGTGCGTAGAAATCGGGAGCTCTGGAAGTACAAACGCTGCTGTGTGAGCTCCTTCGTCGATCTCTGCCGGTACCACCTAACAAATATCGTCAAAAATTGCGTCAGAAACGCAACATTAACTGAAAATGGCACATACGAACGTACCAAAGAGAGTTTTGACTCGACAGATTCCAATTTCACACATGCTGAAGATGTAGCGATCAATTTCTGCACCGTCAGTACCATTCTAGTTCCAGGTTCTGCTTCTTGAGGAAAAATTCCACTAATCTCGGGAATTGCACAATACATGAAACTCAAACCAGCATCTGTGAAATGCTCGCCGTCCAGCGATACAAACACTTCGACTTCTTCTCGAGCTCCAAGGATCATTCCGTCATCCATTGCAGCGGCAGTGGCTGAGTCATCGGGAAACGGCAGCGGTGGAGTACGGAACACCACACGTCTGGTACTTGAGTTGGCGTCTTTAACTTCCGTGGATTCCTCTGGTCGCAAGCAAATGGCTGGCAATACTACGCTACTGTCTCTCCACTTGAGCTTCACAGTCGCATCTTGCGTATCGAAGTGGAAGAAATCGCCAGCAACAGCTACTTGTGTACCTCCAGACACCATCCCTACATTAGGGAAAATACTTAGCAACGTTCCCGTGGCTAACATACCGAACATTTGCGCTGCAGTTGAGAGGCTTCTCCCTCCAAGTTGGGGCTTAGCTGGCAGATACGTTCTTCCGGAGTTCATAGACACGTGCAGGTGAGATACAAACCCCGTCTTCGTGTAGATCTTCCACCATTCAGTCAGTAGACCTTGAGCTTTATTCTTAGTTGGAGGGATGCATTGCCACTCTGATAGCCGTGGAATCGTACACGTCACAAAGTTCCCTTCAACTCCATCGATGCTAAGAGTTATCGACATATTCATAGGCTCCGAGTCCTCATTCTCTCTATGAAAGGTGTGCACGATGGTCACCAACAGCTGAGCTACCTCAGGGGGAAGCATGTTTGGCACTTCAAGTGTAACTTTCTGTGGCAGATCAGTAGTGAGGAACGAGTTGGGACTTACACGAACCAGATGCGCGTCATGAGCCCAGATAACGTGAGGTTCTAGTGTAGAAATGTGGCTGAAGTTGTCGTCGTCTTCATCTTCGTCGTCCTTCCAGACGAATGTTATATCCACACATACTGGCGTAAACACGAGACCTCCATCGTACGAGATCTCAAGAGTGAACGGTGCAATGCCCTCTTGATTACTGGGTAGAGCAGGTAACGTCAGACGTAGCAGTCTACACGCAACATCGGCTTCGTCAACGTTTACTAAACGTTCGTCAAACCCTCCAACAGCCACTAAACTCTCAACGTTGTTCATGGGACTGAGTTGTCCGCTGTCTTTATCGATACAACAGCGTACGAACCTGACAATTGGGTGTCTACAGATCTCCGGAAGACTACCACGAAGCGAGACTGTAACTTCCTCTCCGCCTTCAAACCGAGCGTCGAGCACTGACACACCAGCAACTTGTGGACGTTTAAACGCCGTAAAAACCCTACCGTTGGTGGTGAAATGCTTCCCGTTCATCGACACTTCGACAGCGTATTCCCCCGTCAGCCGCAGCTTCGGAACTTGACAAACCACCTCCCCCGTAGCTTCACAGAATGTTCCCAGCGTACCTCTAAGTAATTGACCATCCGTCAGGGGCACAAACCTCACCGTAACATTCTCACTAGCCCAGAATCCACTGCCGCGTATCCGCAGCTCGTAGCCACCCCTGCATTCCCCACAGACCGGAACTATTTGCGAGATGTAGGTCGGTGCGAACACGAAGAGATTGCGCTCCGTACACACCACCGACCCGACATTAACGTGCTGTAAGACCTCAACACATCGCGGCTCAAACTCGCAAGACGTACCCCCATGTCCCAACTGTCCGTAGCTTCCATTTCCCCAGGTATATAGCTGATGTTCGGTAGTAATTGCAGCTGAGTAGCTGGCGCCGGCAAAGACCTTGGTCCACTTGATTACTCTATCACAAGACACACTACCGGGTAGCGCTTTCCCACCTTTAACGTCTGATTTCCCTCGTCCTGTTTTTCTACCGTGCCCCAGTTGTCCAAAGATATTTAACCCCCACGAGACTACCTCACCTACGTTTGTTACCGCTAAGATATGCTCCGATCCGCTTGTTAAAGCGACAAAAGGTTCTCCGCCCGACCCCTTTTCCAGTAGCAAGTTGAAGGTATTGGAGCTTGGTACCGATTTCTTAATAGTGTATGAGGCTGGTCTAAGTGAGCTGCCTCCGATAAGGTAAATGCTCCCATCCGCGAGTAGAACCGCGGTGAATGTGTTGCCACAACTGGCCGATACAATGCGAGGTTTGCCTAGAAAGAACCCGACGTATTTCGGCCACGCAGATATACCATTAGCCACAGCATTAACCTCTTTTGAAAGGGTATTGAACACGTGACCAAGTTGCCCTTCAGTATTCCGACCCCACGTGTACAAATCTCCCTTCTCTGTCACTGCAGCAGAGTGGTGTTTACCACAAGATACTTGAGTGAACAGCAGTTCCGGCGCTGTTACGACGCGATGTGGTATCCCAGTAGCTGTAGTGTCGTCCGATTCAGGACCAGGAGTTCTAACACGGTACTTCTGCACATTAGACAAGCCACGCTGATGGCCAAGTTCACTGCATTGCAGCATTGTACCAGGTTCACCCCACGAGAAAAGCTGACCGTCTAACGAGAGCACGACATTGTGATTCTTCCCAACCGCGACGTGGTGGACTTTCACATCCTTCAATCCTTCCTCTACCAATTGACTTTCAAAGTTCCTCTCTTTGCTGGCTGCCCAGTCGAGTTCCCACGCGTCTACTAACGCCACAAACCGGTCATAGCCGCCGCAGATTGCTCTTACTTTGCGTCCTAGTAGACTGTCCACGACTGTAATCTTCCCGTCGGTTTGCTCGCCGCAGACGTACAAGATCCCCAAGTTGCCCTCCATTCCCAAGTAAAGCTTCTGCGACTCTATGTGGGTCCTTGGACATGTTTGAAGGAAGTTACGTGAGGTCTATAATAAGAATGACCCAGAATCGTTTATAAAAAAACAAATAGGATAAAGAAGGAATTAAATAAATGACAGCGCAATGAAGTAATGAAATAGTCACACACCGAGCGATTACCTTTACTGACGTCATCCAAATTGGCGTGACCCGTAGGTTTTATGAAATCTGTGTTTGATTGTGAATTGGTGTGCCTAATAATTATTTAAGAAATGCGTAGAATGTTCAGCTCTTTTAGCCGCCCTAGCTGTGAATTATCATCGAATTTTACAATAGTAACTGGTGGAATAATACATTAAGTAATCAGGCACTGGAATAAAAACTGTTTCAAGTAGTTGTTTGCTCGAACTGTGGTTCAGTTGTCAGTTCCTTTGTGCTTAGCTTTGTCCTGTACAAGTCATTCCGATTTTTGCAGTACCATGCACATTAACTTTTTTCTTGCCCTGCTCGTGGCCTGTTCTACCGTGAGCGGCATGGTAGTCGCTGACACCGACGGAGATCCTCGAGTTCCCAGAATTGCCAAGGCTTCTAACGCCAAGGGTATTCGATCAAAGCACAAAATCCAACGTCTCCGGAGGCCGCAGAAACTTAAGAATGAAGAGAGGTTTGACGCTGCTGCGTACATGCTGGATAGCGACGACGAATCGACAACTTCGAAGAAGCGCAAGGACGAAAAAATCTCCCATAAGGCGAGCGAAAAACCTCTTTCTCCTAAGGCGAAGATGTGGGTGAGCGCAATTTCAATTTTGCTTAGCTTGGGTATCACAGCTGGTGTTGGTGTTGGCCTTTATAAGCTACTTCAATGAATCGCCAAAAATCTGATTAACACATTGTTAATAACAATGAATCGCACTGGGCAACCACGAGCACGCTTTTTTTAGTTACCTTTATCACCCAACCGAGCATTCGAATAAACAAAAATTATTTATACTGTACTCTAAAGCTACTGAAGAGCATATTAAAGGTTCTTCTTGACAACACTGTCTCGGGATAAAATCTAAGCCCATATACAGCGACTTTGCTGAGTCGAGGGATCAAAGGCCGTGAGCCACGTGAGTGCGTCGAGGGAAACTAGGGAGAACGGGGTTACGGACTATGAGGGCTCAAAATGGGTGCGAGTCCAAAATATAAAATAGTCTCATTCGGCTTTTGAAACATCTTACTTATTAATAAGTAGTCCCTAGCATCCCGCGACTCGCACGAGCTTCGGTAATCGTATTACTCTACAGCTTCTTGCGCCTGTGTGTTATCTTTGTGACATCAGCCACGACATAAAGCGAAGTAAACACTCCCATACCACTTTATTGGGCTAGCTCTTGACATGGAAATATATTTGCTCGTTTTCTGATTGCAGTGTATTATTTTTTTATAACCGTCTTGTCATTAACTTCTGAACCCTTTCTTTATCAGCCAATCACAGTCGAGTAGTCAGTCCGCTCAACCGTCTCCACTGTATCAATGCTGCTCCCGACGTTGCTTCTGCTCTCGTGGGGCGCTTGTGTGTGGGCACGACCCGCTGCGTGCAACGTCGACGGTGTCCAGATTGAACATGGCAGTGCCAGATACTTAACGGGACGAGCTCATCGCCCCGGTAGCATCTACGCGCGGTGTCTGTACGGAGCCGCGACGTGTTTCGAAGACCGCGGACTGGTAGACGCGCCTCAGTGGATCAATAGTCGGGAAGTGGACTGCTTTGAGGCCACTGAACGCCGTCGCCTGGGTGTAGCCATCATTCTGGAGGAGGATATCTGGCCTGACCATATTGTATGGTACCGTATCAATGGTACCTTCTCGGACTACGAGCTGGACGTCATCAACACCGCCATAGACCTGTACAGCAAGGCGGAGGTGAATGTGACGCTAGAGGAGTGCAAACCGATCTCCAAATGTAAAGGCAAATACGTCAGTATCGAGCAGAACGAAGACGCGTGCTACGGGATGGTCGGGTACGTGAACGACGGCAAGCCGCAGATCATGAACCTGGGCGAGAGCTGCTTCACCGGCGGTCCGGGCAACGTCGTCCATGAGATTGGCCACGCTATGGGACTTTATCATGAACACACGCATCCAGATAGAGAGGTTATTGTGCTGACTGACCAAAACTTGCCGGTCTCGGCAGAGAACTACGGTAAGAAGACGAGCAAGGAGGCGACGCTCAAGCCGTACGACCCCCAGTCCATCATGCACTACGGTCGTACGGCTGGTCTCTGCTTCCCGAAGGCGCAATACCCCCTCAAAGCCTTCTGCGACGTGGAGACGGTTAAGAACTGCATCCAACCAGTGGAACAACACTGTAATTCGAGTCGAGACGCAGAGATTGGAACGCGCACGGTACTCAGCGCTGGCGACATCTACACGCTACGCATGCTCTACGGCTCCAAGGACAACGCCACAGTGCGCGACGTGAAGATTCCTACAGTGAAATCCTCGGCTGCTGGCAGTGTCGGCTCCCCCGATTCCCTCACGGACGTGGTCAAACGTACGACATCCAAGTCAAAGAAGGCTTCAACTACGGAAGCCCGGTCTTTAGACAAGCGAACGTCTGTGTCGACGTCCGACTACACGCCTGGGGATGTTCACGGCGAAGGAAGCAGTAAAGACGGGTCTGTAGCTGAGTTATTGGAATGGTGGGAGAACTTAGAAAACACCATCCAGATCCAGAAGAAAAAGACGTCGGCTTCGAATTAAATCGGAACTGTCCTTGTGTCACAAATCTATTAGCTGTTGCGTTGTTGTTCCAAGCTATGGCGTCTACAATGTAGTAGCAGGTCCTACCTGCTCATATCATTTACACGTCGAGGAACTTGTAGTGGGCGCAGTGGTCGTACGAGTCAACGGCCGATTCGTACGTGACGCCGTCCTCCGTACTGAAACCGGACGTGATCCACGAACCGATGACCTGGTCCTGACCTTGCAGGAGGTACGCGTTGTTAGTGCTGGGCTCAGTTGTGCCAAAGAACTCGCAGGCCTTTACGTAGAACTCGTTGATGCGCGAAGAGTTGCCCTTGAGACGGTTGTTGGTGTCCACGACGCCGTCACGGACCGTGTCCATCATCTCATAGTCGCCGTCCGAGTCGCCCGACGCGTAGATAGGAGGAGCACCCTGGTGGATCGGCTTCAGGATACTGGTGACGATCTCGGCCTTGCCGAGACCCCACGTGATGGGATAGTTGTCTACCAGTTGACCGGTGAATCGCCCGGCGTCGTCCGTTTTGAAGCGGACGCCGAAGACGTTGTCGTTCGGCACCATGTTGCCTAGTCCGAGCAGGTTGCCGGCCTCAGCGGCGTAGAGTTGAGGAGAGGCACTGATGATGTACACGTCCACACCGGCGGCACGTAGAGCGCACATCGTCGACTCTTGGCCATTGAAGAAGCGTAGTCCCTTGGTGTACGCGCCCTCGACCGCCAGGTCGCCTGTGGACGTGTACGTGGGCTCCTCTAACGCCTGGCCCAGGTTCCAGCGGATACTGGAGCGGATGAGCGTCTTGATCTCATCCTCCGTCATACCGACCAGAAGGTGAGGGAATACCGTCATGGCGATAGACTGGGAACATTCCGAGTAATCGTCACCGCCATCCATGACCTCCAGACTGTACAGTAGGAAGCCCATCTTGGCACGGAAGTTCTGGTACTCGGTCGTCTCCTTGATCTCGTCCAGCGTAACGTTCGAGCTCTGAGCGCTGCTGCTTAAGTTGTATTTAGGGGCAACATAGGCGTCGTACAGCACCTTGTAGTCCTTGGCAGTCTCAGCCAGAGTCGTGGCTAGTGTCACGTCTGTGCCATTCACGTCCTGACCGATCACCGAGTTGGTGCCGTTAACGAGGCAGATGTCACTGCTACTGGCGTTGTAACCAAGCGAGAAGATGGACTCGAAGTTCTCCGGTGTGAAGCGGAAGTTGAGGTTGTTCACCTGGTAGAACACCGACGTGTACGAGATGTCGCCAAACATGCACGTGTTGTCCCAGTCGAAGACGGCGTACGCCTCACGGTCGCCACGGACGGCACTGACGTTGGCCAAGAGATTGCTGACCACCTCGTTGTTGTAGTCCGGCGCCTCAGCAGCGAGAAAAAAGTTGGTGGCCTTGGCGCTAGCAGCCAGGATAGCAGCAGACAACGCCGCAGCAGCGAAGACACGGACCATAACAGAGGTTTGTAGACGACAGGACTTTCCTGTCCGTTTCGAGGCGAGTTGGAGAATGAAAGGCCATGAAGCCGCCTTTATCAGAGACCAGTTGGCGTGTCATGATGCCTTTGAAGAGGCCTTGTTCCTTCTGGCTTTTGAAATACTCGTAGCTGTTCACAATCATCCGCTTCTCTCCTGGGCAGAACTCGTGCTTGCCGGACATTTTCGCTGACCTTAAAGGATGCTTCTGGCTAATTGATGAGTTCTACCGCCCTCTCAAGACACTAAGTTATATATAGCACTTTTATTTATATCAAACAGACAATTATTAGACTTTTTACAGTCTGTATAGTATGGGTTACAATTTCTGGCCCAATGTTCAATGTCGCCTACAATAATATCGGGCCGCGACTGGTTCCCCATGTGGGATCGACGGACAGGATGTGGCAAGCCACGCTCTGCTTGTCAGTGCATACTAGCACACAGCCTGTTCAGCAATTCGATGCACGGGCACTTAGAATCTCGCTGACGTTGAATCTTAAGACAAAGCATCGGAGAATTCCGCTTTTAACACACGCAGCACTGGTCTCTGTGCGGTAGGTTGCCTCAAACACGGCTCCTTTTCCGCATGTTTGGCCAACACGCAGCGTCTCACTTCGCTAGCCGTGCATCTTGCACGGCTAGCGAAGGACTTCCAGCACCAGTGACTTACTGAGAATATCAATCAATACCTGTAGTAGAGCGCTTGCCGAGTTGGTTGCAAAACTAGTATTAATAAGCAAGCAGCACCCGTGATAATAATACTAGAGGTCGCATTTTGAAGTGACGTGATGACAGGGAACCCGAAAATGCAATACTTAAATTAATACATCGATGTGAACTGAGAAAATTAATAATTATTTGCAAAACTTCGCAAGTCACGATTGTAGTTCAGAAACATTATCATCTCGAGCCTGGCTGGAGACATTCGCTTCCGTAGATCAGACAGCACCAGCTTAGCGAGAGAGAAGAAGCGCTCACACTCGTTAGACGTTGGCGGGATGTACGCGACGTCGACGTAGCGCAATTGCGTTTCTTGAACGCCGCTCTCACAATAGAACGCTCTCGGCGGCTCTTGAAGACGACCGTTCGAGATCAGGCGACCTAAATTCAGCGCAGGCTAATTTTTCCGCGACGTTCAGCGCACCCCCACGCTGTAACTTGACTAGACCTTACTCAAAATTGGGGTTGTTCCCATTGTGGACAGCCATAAATTAATAATTAAATTAAAAAATTAGGATTAATTTTTACGCATATTATTTTTTCGGGTTCCCTGCGTGATGATCATGCGAGTTTTATTTTTTACAGCATCACCTCAAAATTACGTACTGTGTTAAGGGATGTATCACAGACTAACTGTGAGTTCTTCTCCATGGAAGATAAGCCCCATAGCGACAACGGAGTTCGCTGTCATTCTTCAATTTGCGTCCACCCACACTCAAAGGCCCCTCCCCCAATGAAACTTTTGTGTCTTCTTTCCGTTGTGGCCACGGTCGTCGCTACCGTTGGCAGCGGTACCACTGTGAACCTTCTTGATAGCAGCGAAAGCATTGAAAACAAAGATTGCCCCAAGAATTGTCATGTCAAGTACGATGGCGTTTTGCACGGAAGAAATGTTTACAGCTCCTAGAAGAGTGTGTGGACAGCCCGAGAGCTATTAATACCGTGTCCAGGTTTGCCAACTTTTTCGAAAATTTTCAAAGCCTTGAGGGCACTATCGTGACCACTGGAAGCGGTACCAACACGAAGATTTCCATGACCGACGTCAGTGCGGAAATCCTCGAAGACAAGACCATCCACGGGCATCCGGTTACGACGAGTGAAGATTTCCAAGACTACCTGGATATGGCACTATAAAAAAATATCTCTAGATCTGCGAACGGAAATTATTGTAGTTTGCGGTAAAGATGTGTGAAATTTAACTAAAAAATTGAAGGCTAGCATCAGCTTCATTTGTTTCCTTCGCAAGTAGCTTCACGCCTTGCAGTCGAGTATGTTTCGTGCTGCATTTGAATTGAAGGTCGCACGGGTTTGCGAAGTGCGTAAAGGTTTTGACCTGACGATTGTTACTGACGGGTATTTGTGCTTTCTACTCAAAACTTGACTGCCTGATTTATTAATCACCCGCGCTGAATGGCCTATGAAATCGTTCATCCTACCATACATCATACGGAAACATTACATGCGACAGGTTTCCACACACTGCATCGGCAACGTTTCCCGTGTCAGTAAGCGGTAATGGATCTCCGATCTAACGTCTCGTCTGGTAGCGCAAGAGGACCCCACCAGCGGGTGCTGCATCAGCTGATGGTGCACGCTGTGGTGGTCGAACACGTGTATCGCCACATTCGGCCCGTGTATCTCCATATCCTGAGCGTACTCGGACGCCAACGGAGACTACACCGCCCCACCCAGGTCCAGTACGACGGCGTACACCTCTAGACCGAGAAGCACTGCCAGTGACCACGACTAGGGCATACTCAACCCCGGGTCCAGTGTCATCTGCAGCCCAACGAGCGTCACTTCTTGGAGCAGCAAGATCACCTGGTGAATCAGCTCAAGCTCGACCTTCTCCAGCCCCTGGTACAGCTAGACAGCCGCGGACTCCACGTTCCACACGACGTCGAACATCACCCCGAGCTGCATCTCCTGTTGGTCAACCTGAGCAGCAGATACCAGCATCCCCAGCGGACGCTACTTCGCATCAATAGCAGCTTGTGGTTCAACCTAAGTTGAAGCTGGTGAGTTTTGACCAATCATATCTAAGTGTTGATTTTTCAGACTATCCGTCAATCACCCTCGGTATCCAATTTTCACTGGAATTGACAATATCTACTGTACGCAGTACTGAATAATTTACAGCTATACAGGAGAAGAAAAAACTCACGAGTGAGATCTTTTCTTCTTCTTAAATGCAATGTTAATAATCAATTCCATGCTTCACAGGCTATTGTCAATTCCGTCCAAATTTACACTTTATTGCCTACTGGTCGAACCGCACATCAAATCCACAGGATGATCTGATTGGTCAACATACCAGCTAAGCAAATTCGCAACAGCAAGTTTCCACCCGCACTTCTGCAGCGACGTCTTGCCTGGCGGAGGTGTGCAGTATAATACAAGGGTGGTGCAGCGTCTTACCTGGTGGAGATGTGTAGTAAAACACATATCAATTTCATTATTTTTATGTTATTGTTTGCAATGCTGGACAGAAAGAGCCTATCATAAGTCTCTCGTATCAATGGAGGAAGCAGTAACAAGCCGGCATGCCCACCCCAACACTGTTTTTCATTCCCTCTACGGATTTAATTGCCTCGGATATTCGCGTAAGGACCTTGCTCGAATTTATCTCAAATCGGCAAAGACGATTGGGAACTGGATCAACGTCTACGAGAAAATCTGGACCTACCAGCGGGATGAAGCGAGTTCAACGCGAGCATTTACAAAGGCATATCGAAAGTGACTAGGTGAGCTCTACACATATGCAGCTGCTAGTCTATTTAGATGAGGTCCAGGAATCTTTCCTCAAGGCTCATCAAATGAGCATTTTAAGGACATATTGTGGAGAATACTGCTCGGTTGTGGATTTACTCGCAAGGTGCTTGAACGAAGAGCGATGCATGTTAAAGAGAAAGACGTTTTTCGCTTTGTGGAAAAGCTCAGCTCTGTCGACTGGTGTCACCGAAATCTTGTCTTTTTAGATGAAGTTTCATTTGATAACCGTGGAATGATCCACAAGCAAGGTTATTCACTAGGATACACAAGATTGATTTCAATTCGTGGTGATTTTCAACGTAAGCCACGCGTTTCAGTCCTGTCGCTTCCGGGAGCTGATGGAATCATTGACTATTATAACACTGACGGAACATTCGACCGTGTCAAATTCTTCACGTGCTGCAGAAATTTTGCCTATTCAAGTCTTGGAAAGGTTCGCTAGTACTCCTGGACACTCAATCCGGTATGGATTTTAAATGGGGTCTCGATTCACCGAGGATCCAGAAGTAATTTCACTTACTCCGGAGTATCGGAGGATTCCTATTTTCCTGCCTACCTACTGTCCATTCTTCTTGTGAGTCAAGTGCTAGCGATCTACTTCTGTTTGTGATGAAACGTTTACACGTTTCGAAAGTTTAAAATGGC